ACACACACACACACACACACACACAGAGACACACAGAGACACACACACACACACACACACAGACACACACACACACACACACAGACACAGACACACACACACACACACACAGACACACAGACACACAGACACACACACACACACATCAACTTCGACGTACAGTCTAATCTTCGTGGAGAAAACTCAGAACCCTTCGTTTTCAAAAACCTGTGACGTCACAAGGAGTTCTCGGAACCATGTTCCAGGGATGATGCCGCCGCCCTTCGGCGAGGGATTTGGAAACCCAAGCCCTAAAACCCTAAACACTAAACTCGCAACCCTGAACCCTGAACCACAAATTCATGCAACCTAAACCCTCTAAACCCTCTACTCTAAACCCTCTAAACCCTCTACACCCTCTAAACCCTCTAAGCCCTCTACACCCTCTAAACCCTCTAAACCCCCTAAACCCCCTAAACCCTAAACCCGAAACCCGAATTAAACCGTCAAGGGGGGGATGTCCGAGCTCCCGGCAAGCGCCCCAAAGGAAATCGAGATCAAGCAGGAGCACACTGCGGCGAAGACCAGTGTGAAGAGCCTTGGGGGGCATTTGGGCGCGAAAGGCTTAGGACTGGGTGTTGTAGGGTTTTTAGGGTTTTCAGGGTTTAGGGTTTAGGGTCCTAGGGACGGTTGGAGGGATGACCTTTCTCAGCGTTTGGGGCTTATAGGGCTTGGGGGTGCCAAATTCTCAAAAAACACCCAACACATGCTTGGAGCCTGGAACCGTTTAGGGCTTAGGGCTTAGGGCCGTAGCCCTAAACCCTAAACCCTAAGCCAGAAATCTCAAGGATCATACAAGCAACGCTTGTCTCTATTTGCTTTCCGAGCAAATATTTTGTTTTGGGGGAAGGAATCCAGTTCCTCCGACACGTCCAGTTTTCTTTCCAACTTTACCCACCTGACTCTTCAATTTCTCCCACCTCTTGCAACGCATTTGCGCATTTGCGCATTTGCGCATTTGCGCATTTGAGCATTGTGCGCATTGTGCGCATGGTGCGCATTGTGCGCATTGTGCGCAGTCAGACGGCAGTCCCACTTCGAAGAAAACCAAAACTGCTGTAGCACGAAGCCAAAAAGCACTCCAACTGACTGGTGAGTCGGATGCCTCCGGGTCTTAAACTGCCGTTGCGAAAGTCTCCCTCCAATCTAGACGTTCAACCACATCCTGTATGCTCTCAAGGTGTTAGGGTGTAGGGTTTAGGTTTTAGGGTTTGGGGCTCAGGGCTTAGGGTTTGGGGTTCTGAGCTGCTGCTTTGCTTTGATTCAAGCATTTGAGAGGCAAGATGCGGGCGTCCAGGTTACAGGGAGCTCAACCTGCGAACCATCAAACTTTCCGGTGAGCCTGATGGTCGTTGGGGTTTAGGGTTTAGGGTTTAGGGTTTAGGGTTTAGGGTTTAGGGTTTAGGGTTTATGGGATTATGGGTGTAGGGCTTCTTTGCAATACGGCCGTCGGTCTTGGCGGCTGTTGCCTGACGGGTGAATGTTGAAGTAGAAGCCCGAGCCAAATTGGAAGCATCCAATCGGGTCGTCCTTCACGTTGATCACCTGGGTAGCCCAGTAGCCATTTCATACTAAGGGTGCCCTTTGCGGGGTTGCTTGGCTACTTTACAAGGGAACCTAGAACCAACAACAAAAATTGTGCAAAAGGGGTACCACACCGAAACTACCAAGCCACAAAAGGGTCGTTCAAGAGACCCAGAAAAACCTTTGGGAGGTTTTGGCATTCCTCTTGGCTGAGAGGTTGGCTCCCCTGTGGGCAACTGTTGGTGTTGAAGTCGCCAACCACATAGTGAAGCTGCTCCGAACCTCGGAACAGCCCTGGAATGCCTCCGCAAAACATATTCCGGAATATGGTGCTCCTCACCCCAATAAGGGAAAATAGCCCTAAACCCTAAACCCTAAACCCTAGACCCTAAACCCTAAACCCTAAACCCTAAACCCTAAACCCTAAACCCTAAACCCTAAACCCTAAACCCTAAACCCTAAACCCTAAACCCTAAGCCAAAACAAAGACATCCCAAGGGCTGACCGAGGAGCGTTTGCAAAGCAAGCTCGTGCCAGTCACCCCCCAAGTTCCAGTTGCGTGGCTGTTGAAGAACCTTAGGGTTTAGGGTTTAGGGTTTAGGATTTAGGGTTTAGGGTTTACCCTAAACCCTAAACCCAGGTGGATTTCGGAGTTATAGGGTTTAGGGGTTGGGGTTTCGGGACCCAAGAGTCGCCCCGGAATAGAAAAAAGGTGCCCTTTCTTGGTTCAAAAAAGGGGAGCATAATGCAAGAGAACCTGAACCCTTAAGAAAGGGAAAAAGAGGCCCCTACTCTGGGTCCTAGGAACAGCCGCGTTGGTGCCTCCAGTCGCGTGAAGAGGCCCATGGCACTGACACTTGAGCCACGGATGGTAGCGCCCGTGGTGTCTTGGAGGCCATGACCTTCAGGACGAATTTTGAGCCCCAAAAAGGGGTTTATGGTACATATGGATATATATATATATATACCTTATATACCTTAATAGCGATTGTACAAGTATAGGGCAGATAACCCCAAGTTTAGGGTTGCTTTGGTCCCCAAGGGACCTACGAAGTGCCAGCCCATGTACAGGGCCTGGTAGCCTGGAGATTCACCCAAGTAAGCATCGCAAGTCAGCTCGGCGTTCATGTTCGGGGGTGCCACCAAGCCGTAGGAAATGCTGGAACAAATCTTCCCGAAGCCGGTTCCTGTGTACATCTGAGGCGGCAAGTTGCACTGGCCCTTCACACACGTCACGTTCACCAGGGTGTAGTAGTCGCTGTCCTTACAAGGATACCTGTTTGAACCACGATATCTACCAGGATCAAGGCTTCCTGGCACCTTGAACTCCACGACTTTCTCATAAGTCTCCGGGTCGTCTGAGTTGCTCGGGGCGCTGTCAACACTCCAGGCCATTCGAATCAACCCACCTGAAGGGCCAGACGCAAGAGCAGCCTAGGAAAAACAAAAAGGGTGACCTTGTTGGGTTGAAGGTGCTACAGGGTTTAGGGTTTAGGGTTTAGGAACCTAAATCATAAAGTACAAGGGGACAAGGGTTTACTCTGGTGCCTAGCCCCTGAACCCTAAAGCCTAAGCCCGAAACCCCACCTGCATGTTCGATGACTCCTGATTCGGGACCAACGCTGCTCATCTCCGACTTAGTGAGTGGTCCAGCAGGTGCCTTCCTGGGTTGATGTCTATTAAGTGTAGGGGTTAAGGTTTAGGGCTCAGGCTTTAGGGCTTAGGGTTTAGGGCCTTGGGGACCACATGAGCCTTAATTAAACGTCGTTGGTTTATGGTTCATATTCTTTAATAGGAATATATGACCGTGATTTTGGGGTTAGTTTTTCCCCAAGGACCAAGGAACAGGATCCTCTTTAACCCAATAAGGGGGTGTGCATCTGAAAAATGTTCCTAAACAGGATTTTCTTTAACCCAATATTAAGGAACATGCAAAATATCCCAAAAGGGCCTACTACCGAGCTGCAGCAACGCCA